AGTTACAGTAAATAAATAAAATCAGGAACTCTTCAACCGATTTATTTATAATCTCAATTTAAATATCTAGAAACTCAATAAAATTAAAATATTCAACTGTGATTATTTTCAATTATTAACAAAATAAAAACGTGATAACTTTTCCCCACAGTCAAAATGATAAACCTCACTTCTTATTAACTTTTAAATACTGTTATTTTAGTTCAACACCTTGTAGACAAGCCATTATTTTCTACCACCTCTTTCAGTCTGTTTTTAATGGAGTCCACAAATTTTTTGGCGACTTCTGGGCTTAGGCTGTTCCACTTCGAGGAGATATTTTGAAAGACTTCTTCGCTAGAAATTTATATCTCCAATTTTGTCCACGTGTGTTCTATCACATTAAGATGTGATGGAATTTTTATAAATTTGTGGCAGTTATAAAGTAGTCATTCCTTAACTAACATGGCAGAGTATCGGGCTCATTATTCAGATAATATCTAAATTTGTTTTTTAGCCTCAGATTTTCAGCAATTTCTTTCAATTTTCTTCTCAAAAGGTATATGTAAACATGGATAATCACTATACCATTGGAATATTTTCACTATAAAGTGGAGATTTCCTACACCAGAAGCCACCATATTAGGTTGCGCAACATCAGTCTTGGTCTTGCACTTTGCAAAACCAAGACCAAGACCGCCTAACTGATGCAAATCGATTTTTTAAAATAAAAATTAAGGCAAAATAGTTACTAATACTCGCTCGACAATTTTAGTTACTACATGTTAACAATTGGTATAACCAATATACTTTTGCATTTAACTTCTCTAATTTTTGATTCGGGCTTAGTTAGGTTTCTCCTATCTAAACAATTACAATAATATCTCTATAATTATAAGCTAATAAGTGAATGCAAGACTGTTGCGAGACTCGTGCACAAGACCAAGACCATGACCAAGAATGAGTTTGCAAGACCAAGACAAGTCTCGGTCTCGCATTTGTGCAACACTACGCCACACACCCCCACACCAAGAAACAGAACATAAAACATAACATAGCATAAGAACCAAAAAGAGAGTATATTACTAAGATATTTATTGATTACATTAAAGTATTGTCTTCTACGTAATATAAATTGAACTATTTATTTATTCCCACTGTATATATATATATATATATATATATATATATATATATATATATATATATATATATATATATATATATATATATATATATATACAACTTTTCCTTAATCGACCTTTGAGTATTAAATTTAAACTTAATTATTTATTGGGAATAAGGTCATTTAATTATTATTCAATTAACTATTGAATGTTCATTTCTTCTGTTTATTGACGTTTCGATCCCGGTATTTTCTTTTTATTAGTCAACCATGGGATCCTCTTCAAAGCTAGAATTTTAAAAAATAGAGCTTCGATCAGGCCAGGGACACAGTCTCAGCACCGTCCACTAGCACATATATTAAGCTACTGACTACCATGGTTGACTAATAAAAAGAAAATACCGGGATCGAAACGTCAATAAACAGAAGAAATGAACATTCAATAGTTTATTAAATAATAATTAAGTGACCCTATTCCAAATAAATAGTTAAGTTTAAATATATATATATAGTTACAGTATATATTGAAACTGTATATATATATATATATATATATATATATATATACATATAGCATTGGTTCTTACTCCCTTATTTTTATTTACAGATCGATAGAAGACATTGAGATATAATCATTTTGAAAAGAACTATATTATCACTTTCGTCAGAATTAACAATTATTTTATATTGCATCTCCAGGCCATTAATTGTAAGTTTTAGATTTAATTTTTGGGCTCAACTAAATTTTGATAAAAAAAAAGAAAAAAAAAGAGATAGACTTGAACCTCTTTGCTTCTGATTCAGTCCATTGAATTAAAGTAATTTAGAAAAATGAAGAACTTACATTGACAATTATAAGTTATACAACAATAATTACAAGAATAGATCAACTATCACTTGATATATTTTTGAAAAAGTTCCAATGTCGGCAATTTTATGGTTATTCATGTCTAGACAAGATAATTGTAAAATATCTATTAACAAATATTTTTTCGAAGTATATACAACATAAGAAGTATGCGCTTCGGATCACACGCGCGGTACTTCTTTGTGGTTCCTCCTCGGTACAAACTGTATAAGAAGTAACACGTGGTAACCCTTGCGATCTGGCACGCTAGGGACAATGGCCCTCAGGTAAGAAGTGGAATTGGGGTGGACCAGTCGCAGGTACAATACCGGCTGCTTTCATTGTATTGTATTTTAGGATAACTAGGGTTTTTTACTGATTCCTCAATCACACAAAATAACAGAACACAGTGGAACGAAAATAAGGAAATAATGTTAAAATTTAATATCAGCTTATTAAATCGTCCAGTCATCTACGAATATTTCACGTAGCTCCTGTGTTTAGTTTTATTAGATTATCTACCATGTTATCATTGCATTATTATGGAATGTCATGTAGCTATGTAATCATTGCTTTATTCATAAAAACTTCATATGCCATACATTAATTAATTTTATTATGAGTTTGGCAAAGAAACCTTTCTATTTGACAAGTAATTTTTCTTTGCTAAACTCATAATTGATAACCTGGAACTTCCCAACTACATAAGAAATAATTTATTTTACTTTCTCAAATATTTCATATTCATTTTTATGTTAAACATTTCGCTACTGCTAGTGCAAAAGGTCGTACGTAACCATTTTCCTTGTTTATTCTATTTGTGCTAAAAGTGACATTTTGTAGTCAATGCAATAGGTAGTCTGCTGGTATAGAAAATAGCAGAGGGAAATAAAATATGACATTATACTAATAAATAATAAAGAAATAATCAGTTTTTATACCCTTCTTTAAAAAAACTCAATTTTTACATACGCCATTTTGCACTAGCATTAACTATTAAGTATATATATATATATATATATATATATATATATATATATATATATATATACACTCTTTTTTTTCTGAGTAAGGAAATGGTCAAGGGTGACGGTCATAAAAAGACTAAAATAGTGAAGAAAAAAAAAACCAACGTTTCTTATTTTCTTCATCTTATTTATTATTATTTTTTTTTTTTAGTGATATGTTAACGCCAATTTTAATAGTGTTTACATTTATATTTTAATTTCCGGAAACAAGAGTGAATCATACATTAATTTTAAGTATTATTCTACATTTCGTAGTAAAATATTTCAAATTGTAATATATTTTCTTTTACAAAAAGATTTATGAATTTGACAATCCTATTATATTAAAAATATGGAAGCAAAATTTTTATTGATTCAATTTTAATAACTTTTTAATACTATATAAAGGAGGTAAAATACAATATCATTTTTGTTACCTCACACTCAAAATTGATCTAGGAAAGTTTTGATGTCTTACACATCTACTTTAAAAGAATTTTTTTTTAAAGTCTTCGAACCATCCACAAATATTTTTTTAGTTAAGAAAGTAACTTATTCAAAACACAAGTTGACGTGTTAATAATAATATTGTTTAATTATAGGTTCTTTGATTATTTGATCGCTTAATACTACTTAAATTACTATTACATCAACCTTGCCATAAATCAATTTTATCAAGTTTATATTTCGTTTTTCATCAATGGAGCTAAGTCCATAGTTTTAATTTTATTTAAAAATCCCACAAACCGAATATAATTGATCAATCAAGCTTATAGGTTTTCTTGTGTGCCCTCGCGCTTGTCGGAAGAATCAAAATAAAACCAGTTGGGCGAAATTTCTCGATTTTGAAGCGTAGGTTTGAAATGTAAATAGAATCTTAGATCCAAAACAGCAGGTGTCAAATTCCGACAGGTTTCACTTGAAATAAATAACAAGATTTTTAAGAGAAATCGAATTTTAAAATTTATTCAGGCTTGTTAAATAGTGGGACTTATTGGACACTACTTAAAAAAATCACACATTAAGATCAGAATTTGATTTTTATTTTTTAGTACCCCTGATAGTTAAACATTAACTTTAAACATTGCTTTCAGGCTAAATTAAACTGATTTATATAGTTAATTGGGCAATTCATGAGCCTGTCAAAGCGTGCTGAACAATAATTGTACCTATTGCTTATACAACTTTCTGAAATAAATTGAAAAAAATATTCTTGGAATCAAGTCCGTTACGAATAATGACATAATTTACTCATTTCAATCTGACATGATAAATACAAAAAAGTACCTGTTATTCTGATATTTGATAACTGATACAAGAGAACGGATAGGATCCCCGTTATCAAGGACTCCAGGCTGGCACCTGTATCAATCAGTACAATTGTTCACTTATTGACACAGGTGTCGCCTCTATCATTGAGTAAAAATATTACTTCTCTTTATTGATTCATACTTATGGCTGTAATTAATTTTTTTTTAATGATATGCAAATCAAAATTATCTTTATATAAATATATAAATCAGGTCAAAAAAACACCTGTTTGAATGACAGCGAGCATGCAATCGCAATCAGTATTAAAGGGTTTGTGGGTAATTATAAACTTTGTTAAAATAATTAATAATTAATTTTATTGTATCACAGTCAATTGTAATACACAATCTATTACTCTATATCTTTGTCTTTCTTTATACAATTCTATATCTTTATACAATCAAATTTTTTATCAATTCAAAAAAAAAAAAAACAATTTTTGTTTTTACAATGTATCTTCTTAATTTTTAATAATAACAAATACACATTATGAAAGAACAGACAAATTCCACTTCTATCCTAACGCTATCACAGTTTACAGTCTTCTATCACATGGCACTACTAGGCCACAATTCAACTAAAATTAACAACTAAATGAGAACAATAATTACATTTTAAAGCTATCCAAAACACTTTTCTTTTGTAAAAAGAAAAAAGAAAGTCTTTTACATTAACAATGATAAATATATATATAATATTTTTTTATAAAAAAAATTAAAAAATAAACTAAGTACACTTTGAAACGAAATATATATATATATATAATAGAAAAGGCACTTGAAGTCTCAATTTAAAGCTGATGAAAGACACCGGAGAAGAAGAAGGTGTGGTGATAAGAATTACCACGGCCTCCAGACTTGCTGAGGAGCCACCTTGAGGAGCCCAGAGAACTCTTGAGGTGCAGGAGAATCTGAAGATCTGGAGGAAGCCGGAGTGGGCGGCAAGGAGTAGGTCGGGCTGAGAGGTGCCGGCTCGGAGGTCCGGACGGACAGGGGGCTGCAGACGTCCATTTCGTTGAGGCGGTGGCCGAGGTGCGACATGAGCTTGGTGCCTAGGCGCACGTCGACGCCCGGGGTGCTGGCCAGGCACTTGCTCACCTCCCCGGCGCAGTGGGTGTACCCAGCGCGGAATCTGTCATCTGTGCCTGTCAAGGAGAGTCTGCGGGCCTTCCTCAGTTTGTGGAGGTGGCGGACCGTCAGCTCCAGGATGTCGGCTTTTTCCAGTTTGGCCACGTTCTCACCGTCGGACTGGAGGGCCGAAACCATCAACTCCTTCAGCTCGTCAAGGCAGCGGTTGATCCTGGCTCGCCGCTTTCTTTCAAGCATAGGCTTCATAACCTTAACAGAAAGAAAACGCAATCGATAAGTCAAACAGTTGAGGAGAAAATTAAATGAGATAAGACACTATCACTTGTTGATTAGAAGATTTAATTGAAACAATCAGAATTGACATTTACCTTTCTGTATTGGTAAGTCCTGGAGATTGGCTGGACTTGCTCGACGTCCACTTGTACTGGTTCGTAAACTGCTGGACTTGCCATGATGGTCACTACACACACACAATATATCGCACTTAGAAAACTGATAGTAGAGCTGAGCTAGATGCTGCTCGAACGGAGGCAGAGAGAGGTCTGAGTGCCTGAGCTCGGTGGAGGGGCTATATATACCTCTCCCGATCGTGGGAACTGAGGCCCGCTCCGGCTCTCACAGACCCGACAGCTGCTCCTATCTCTCTCTCTCTCCCTCTCTCCCTCTCTCTCTCTCGCTGTGCTACTGACGCGTGCCCTCTCTTCTAATTGTGTCTGTCTGTATGTCGCGTGCTATACCTACTGTCGTATTGCCAATAAAGTCGCAACTGTTGCATCGCTCGGCTCTTCTTCCTATTTCATTACTTATCTTGCTTTTTATTGAACACGTAAAGCTAAAACATCTATTAGAAATAAACTGTGTAATATATAATTCATTCAGTTCAAATATGATCTCACCTGTTGTATTACAACATAGATGAGTAAATAAAATTTTTATTTATTACAATTGCATGTCTCTTCGGTTGTTAGACGGTTCTTAATACTAATAACATACTCCACACTTATAAATGATTCCTGATTGTAAAATTAACATATTTTCAATAAGTCCGTTAAGGTTTATAGGATTTCTTTGCTCTGGAATTTCTTAGGACAGATTTTATAACAATTTTGATTTTAATTAATTTATTTTATTTAACTAATTATTAAATTTATTCTCAAATAAATTTAAGTTAATAAAGTGTTTTGGCTTTATTGGACAGCGACCATTTTACTCTTAAATTATATCTAAATTAAACCACATCCACACCATTATGAAAAATATCTTACAGTATCAAAATTAATTAATTTACTTTTTAATTGAATGAATTTATTTTAGTTAAATTATTTAATAAAACAAAACTTGTTGAAAAGTACTTTAAAAATGATATATGCCAAGAACGTGGACTTACTTTATAATTGTAAATATATATTTAAATAATAATAAATAATTTACTATTAAATCAATTTTAAGTCAAAAATATGACCCGAACTGGTAGACAAAACCTCAAGTTTAGCAACTTATCTGTTTGTAACAAGGAAAATTAAATTTAAATTTTTTATATAAAAATATTGTTAACTTATTCATAGACTAGAAAGTATAAATTATAATATTACTAGTGAAGTTTCTTATGAAAATTCTTAAAAATGTCATATTCTATAATTTATTTTATACCTTCATCTAGCTGTGAATAATTTAATATTTAAGGAATATGATATATATAACAAAAAGTATTCGTTTTATTTTGTAAGTTGATTCGATCAACTTACATCTCCTGGACTACCTCAACTAAGGCAAAAGTTATTTCAAAATTAAATTATAGCTTTTATTTTAGTTTGTATGTTGAACACAAAAAATAAATGTGAGTCATCATCACCTTTTAGTTGAGTGGAAATCATGAAAATTGGAAAAAAAAAAATAATTATGACGATTATGACATCATTAAAATATAAATACAAAAGACTTCAAAAAACCTTTAAAAAGTATATATTATTTCATTATTTTTCATGATTCCATCTTCGTAACCTTATCATTTATTAATGTTGTACAGGCTTGGTACATGCAATGGATGGGATCTTGGTGGAAATATTATTTTAAATGTTTATAAATTTTTCCTTAAGATTCTATTTTTCCTTTCTGAAAATTTGTCATTATTATGCCAGTCCGTCTGATGATTGTCGATAGAGGTAATCGAAAGGTATGAATTAATTAATGAAAGTGCAAAAAAATAGTCTGTAATTCAGGTTTTTTAAAAATAATTATAATATTGTTTTATGGATATTCTTCATATTGACGATAAAGTCATTGTATATATATGTATGTATATATATATATATATATATATGGTAGAGAAAGGTGCTATAAGTATAAGAAAAGAATACAATATATAATGGACAAGATATAAATACAGAGGCAATCCAAACAAGAGAAGAGAGAGGCGGGGAGGGGAGCAGCTACCGTGGGAAAGATCTCGAGGTTCCCACGTGCCCAGCGGCCCAGCAGGCACGAGCCGACCTCTCTCTCACTCTTTCTTCCTCTCTCTCTCGCTCCTCCTATCTCCCTCTCTATCGCTCCCTCTCCTTCTCTTCCCACAGCGGCCGTCCTCTATTTACATACAGGCCGATAATGGAATACCGTCGGCGCTTGTGATTGTGCCACGAACGCGTGCGATCTGCCTTCGCCACTCAGTCACTTGTTGATCCGTCTTTGTGTCAGGATATCGTGTTTAATGGCCAGGATTTGTGTGTGTGAGTGTCGGGGGAAACAAGTGTTAGGATGACTTTGTCACTTAATCGGATGGACTCGAAACTAATTCGTGCCTTCTACTCCCGATTCGTTGCTGTCAAAAGTCAATATTTTAGCTGTACGAACTTTACATTAAAACTTTACGAACTTTACAACGAAAAAACTTTACATTAAAAAATACAATTTCGTATTTAACATGTTAGCTGCGGTTACGGTCTCTGGTGTCTATCAGATATAATGATTATTTACGTTTTTATCTATCTTTACATCCATCCAACTCCCATTCAAATATTTTTAAAAATTATCATTTTAGATGCTTCGTAAGATAGGCAAAATTCGAAACAATCCCGGCCAAAATCGAGACGAATATCAAAATCGGGGGACCGTAACCTCATCTAACGTGTTAAATTAATAATTATGGAATCTCAGTTATATTTCCTATTGTTAACAATAATCATGAACGGAAAATAAATGAATAATTATATTGAGTGATAAGAAACAAGCGTGGCTTCATATCGAAGACTAACACCTGTCATTTTTAAAATTTTGAGAAAAAGTCAATTTGTCAAGATGTCTTGATATGAGGTCACTCGTATTTTGTCCCATAGTTTTTTCTCAAGGAGATAAATACCATTATCACTTCAGCATCCATTAATTTAAATATGATAAGACGACTTTTCGAGTCCCATTGGCTTATTCAAAGAGAAAACAGAATATAAAGATTAGATAGTTTTCTAATATCACCTACACCACTGTCGGACCTATGGAATGTTTTAGGGCTGAATCCCACCCCCCCCAATTTAGAAAACAATTTTTTTATTGGTCCATGTTTGTACCTGTAAGTAATTCAAATTAATGATTGGTTAACTAAACAAACGATCTAATAGAATGATTGTTTTTAATTTATATTAGTTCGGAACAAAATCAATTTTGAACGACCTAAAATTTAGTATAAATAGTAATCAGTAAATATATATATGTATGTATGTATATATGTATATATATGTATATGTATATAAGTTATACAGTTGACTTAAAAACTATACAGCAACAGATTTAATTTAATTACAAATGATGAAATTAAGGTTTAAATATCTTGGATTTCAATCCCTACTGTTACCCACCTATAATTCGAAATTTAAAATCTATAATATTTACCGAAGTAAAAACTTAGCTATAGTTTATATAATAGAAAAAATAATTTTAAAGAATATTGTTCAAGATAGACTTTAAGACCGGTCAATCTGATATTGGCTATAATGCTGTGTTTAAGCTTCTTACGGATATTATTGGTGATTATCCCATGAGCCCAGACTATGGTTCCTTTAAGACGACTTTTTATAGACGGTGTAAAAAAAATCCCTTAAAAAAAAATTTTCGACGTAATTTTTTTGGGCTGCTATAATCAGAAAATTTATTATTTGGTAATAGTAAGTTCACATTGGCATTTCGTCATATGTGCCAATTAATTCCAATAAATACCTATTTTGTTTTTAATTCCGTTCCTTAATTACTAATAATTGTACACGTTTCATCTGTTTCATTTTAAATGATTAAATTTACTTTTTAAAATATAAAACTGCAAAACACAATCTGTTTAGCAAATGCCACATAGCAATCAACAATGCTTTCAAATGATATGAAAAAAATAAAACAGCGTGCAATTTAATGCAACTCCACGTGCTCTGAGCACGTGTGTGTTGTATAATTGACCAACTGCAATTACATATAATGACTCAGGTCGTTTCAACAGCAATTTAATTTACACCTTATTGTTTTATAAATATGTTTTTATATTACTATAGTAAGTTCTCACTCTTTTTATTTTCAATTTTTTTTCTGACCTCTGATTTCCCATGGGATGTGAAATAAACGGAGTAGAACATAACAATGCTAAAGAAGTAAATATATTTGAATACTCTGACGGCCAACTGTTAATTTAACTTAGTAATTATCGAATTGTTAGCGTTATTAAACAGTTTGATCATGTATCATATTCTTTAGTGGAGGAAAAAAATTGCAAATTTCGCCATTTTTCGGTCTCTTGCTAAGGCGATTAGTGGCAATTGGAATTACCTCTCCTAAATTGTTAAAACTTACGGCCAGATATAATTTTTTTTCAGTTCCAAAATACATCAAATGGCTGATGAAAACTATTGGTGTTTTTCAACCTAAAATCCAAAATAAATAAAATACAGTGTAGTATGGCTATTTTTTTTAAAAATGTTAAAGTTTTTTTTTCATTTTTATTTATTCGCTGCTATCATGATAGCTGAGATGGGCAAATGCTACTCTGAGAGCTGAGTACCAAGTTGTTTACTCAAATGCTGACCTTTTTTGAGTATAAGAAAATTTAATTACTACATATAATATGTAATATAAGTACTTGATGAATCCCAGCAGTTATTTACTATTTAAAAATAATTTATTATATCCTATTTAATTTCCTATATCCCTTGGGCGCATTATCGTTTTATCTACAATGGCAAAAAAAAAAATTAAAAACATGAAGACAGAAATATTAATCGATCTGAAGAAAATTATAGGTTACATATATAAAATATGAAGTATGAAATGGGTTACACACAAATTATTATTTTTTTCATAAGAGAGTTATAATTTCGTACAAAAATTAGAGAGTGCCAAATTTTAAAATATTTTTCACTTGACAGTAATTAATTGACTAAAGCGACTTTTAATCATCTGTGGGAGGTCGCCCAAACAAGGAAAAAAAATATATGCAAATTATCTAATCAGCCGGGCCGTGTTCGGATATCCATCGGCGAAGAGCGATGGGGGGAGGGGAGGACATACCTA